TCATGTTAAAGGCAAAACTAAAAGGCAAAGTGTTGTGGGGAAAAGGGATTTGTAAATAATTGTAGGAATGTGTAGCAATCCTTGCTGTGTTTGCTTCTACTCCTCACTACACACCCAATCCCCCCAATTTATATTTATATTTATATTAATAGTACCAATTTGTTTTAGGTAGACCCTTAACCCACATGCCATTCCACTATTTTGTTAACTGGAATTTCAATCTTCATCATTGCTTGCTGATTCGCTATGTATCCCCTGTACAAATTGGGTGTCATGTGTTTTATATCATTGAAGATCTGGTTATGTTTTTATAAGAGGATTTTATGTTTTCATAATGGGACTGTGAGAGAAGATCATCACTTGGAAAAACAATCTCTTCCCATTACAAAATGTCAATATTTCATGTCCAATCTTCTTCAATAATGTTGAAATGAAAGCCAATAATGCTATGCTTACTCACATTTATTAAAATTACATATGGTACCCATACTATAGTTATGGTACATGTACTATGTTTTATATTTACAAAGGTTAATAAGTTCGTGAGTAAGCATAACATTATTTAATGAAAGCACAAAAGTAATATTATTATTTAAGTCTAAACAAATCCTTTTTAAGATAACAAAGATACACTATAATACATGATAGGAAAATGAAATAAGATTATCAACGATCATCACCTGGAAAACAAACTCTCTTTTATTATAATATAATATAAGAAATTCTTTGTACAACTGTGTTACTAAATCTAATGCTTAATATGTTATGGTTGTGTTTAAAAGACATAAATAACCCAAAAAAAAAAAAAAAAAAAATCATGTGAGTTAACCTAATTGCCCTCAATGAAAATTACAAAGACAAAAATAACTGAAATGCACTAAGGTTATTAAGTCTAGTATGATCTAGCATGCTTTAATCAAACTATTAAATGTCAAATAATCATGTGAGTTAAAAAACATATCATTTATCGTTTCATTAAGAGTATAATTGAAAGTCACTTGAGTTTACAATTAGATTTATACTTTAAATAAAACATTCACATTTAGGGAAATTCAAATGTTTAGTGATCATCATCACTTGGAAAGCAAACTCTCTTCCTATTTCAAAATGTTTATTATTTTAGGTCCAACCTACTTTAAATATATTAAAATGAAAGCACAAGAAGAATATTATTATTTAAGTCTAACAGATCCGCTTAAGTTAAGATGGATTAGATATGAACTTGATTAAGCTGTAACCAAAAAACGAGTCAAGCTTAAAGACAAAAATAAAGATAGATAATTGAGAAATCAAGAAATAGGTCAAATAGAGAGATGAAAACTAAATAGACATAGGAGAAACACTATGATATAAGAATATATCTATGAGTTATCTATTGTTTGACCCTTTTACTTAGCTTCCAAATTACATGAAGCTAAAACCAACTGAGGATCGAGAATATAATCACCCCAGCATATGGCTCAAAGGACTACTATATAATGAAATCAATATTTGACCATCATTTGTTTCAACAAATGCACATCCATTTAACTATTGTCCAGCTTCCCAAACTATCCAAATTTTCAGATAATTAATAAGAGTAAGCAGTATTTACAATTTGTCCTTCTGCAGTTAAAATTAACGGACAAATTGTAACGGTGGTGGGAAAATTTCATTAAGAAACTTGGCTGGTGGGAAAGTGTCATTAGGCCAAACCTTGGGTGGGAAAAAGTCGTTTACTCTTTCTTTAAATAATTTCATAAAATATTAGGGAAGTGGATTTTAGTCACCACTTATTTGATCAATATCCCCCATTACTAAATACACCAATTTTATATTTAAGCCCCATTTAATACCCAAAATACCCTTCAAAACTTAATTAGAATTTTCTTTACATCCATTTCTCCAATTTCAATTTTTAGAATAAAAAATATCAATTTTAAATGGTACGAAAATGAAAAATGGAAGTATTTTTTCATTAAACATACAATTTATATGATTATGATTGTTTAGATTTAGGGTTTATACAAGAAATAAAGGTTTAAAATTATAAAATAGAGTTTGGGTGTACTTAGAATTTATAATGCCCTTACTCGTAATTGTCTTTAGAGGGCGTTTGGTTTAGAAAATATTATATTACTGGGAATGTTGGATTATTGGAAAGTTAGATTACCTTGAAGATTACTAGGAATCTTTAGGAAAATGTGTTTGATTAATTGGTGGGTATGTTATATTAATATCTTTGGTTGGGAGGAATAAATTGGTGGGTATGTTATTTAAATTACTTAATTGTCCTCTAATTAAATATTATTATTATATTATTTTTTAATATTGATTATTATTTGGATTATATAACCCCCCTGCATTTAAAAACTTAGAAAAAAAAAACATCATAATAAAAGTTTGGAAAATCAACAAAGCATCCCCACCAACCTAGCCACTGCCGGCCGCCGGCAACTGACAATCTAACGGCGCACGAAAGACAAGAAATAGCCTCTGTGCGTCATATGGCAATTTCCAACTAGAGATATGGCTGGAAATGGCCAGACGTTACAGATTTGGCTGTCAACGGCCAGATCTAATCTAGCCGTCAACGGCCATATCGACGCACGACGGCCATTTTTGGCCTTTCTTGAGCCGTTCCGACAGCGACGGTGGCTGGCCGCAGCTGTGGTTGCCGGCGGTAGGTAGTGGTAGGTGGGTGGGGGTGGTGACTTGGGTGGGCAACAATTTGTTTTGAATTTAAGGGTAATTTTGTCCAAAAAGTTAATTAATTGGGGTAAAATAGTAAAAGTCATATTCATGTAAATAAATTTAAAAATAAGGGTATTATTGTCCTAAAATTTTATTAATAAGAGACAGAATTATAACAAAAAAAAATTACCCTGGTAATCTTAGAATACCTAAGAAAATGAAAGTAATCAGATTACCTCCAATATTACCACCAGTAACTACTATTGGTATTTGAAGATTACCAGAATCTTATATTACTTGACGATCAAACGTAGTAATCAAGTAATATAAGATGACATGATTCCAGTAATCCCACATTACCCCCAACCAAACACCCCCTTAAGAGGTAATGTCTTCTTTTATTATTTAATTATCACGTTTGGTTGTCAAGTAATATAAGATTACAGTAATCTTTTAAAACCAATAGTATTTACTGTTGGTAATATAAGAGGTAATTTGATTACCTCTATTTTCTTAGGTATTTTAAAATTACTTGGTAATCTTATTTTTATTACAATTTTACCCTTTATTAATAAAATTTTTGGGCAATAATGCCCTTATTTTGAAATTAATTTGTCATTACAATTTTACTCTTATTTAATTAAGTTTTTAGACAATAATACCCTTATATTTAAAACAAATTGCAGGCCACCTAGGACCACCGCCTACCGCCACCAGAACTCGTTGAAAATGACCGTACCGATATGGCCGTAGATCTGACTTGAAATGGCTAGATCTACGGCTTTTGGCTGTTAACGACGACCAGATCTTTGGCTGACCTTAATGACCAAACAGTTAGATTATGGCTATCAAAGGCCAAAACTCTAGTTGCTAATGACGGCCAGTTCTAACCGTAGATCTGATCATTTATGGTAGATCCATGATGGATCTAGCCAGAAATGGCCATATCAGCGCACAGTCAGCCTGATCTGGCCGATCGTGCACCGTTATGACCACTTCCATCGCCACCGCCGGTGGTGACAAGCAACCGGTAGTGGCTTGAGGTAGGTAAGGGTGTTTTTGTTAAGTTTTAAATTTTTTTGGTTGTTAGGGTGTTTTAGCAATATCTCAAACGTAGGGGATAAAAAAAATTATTCAAAAAAATAATATTATATTAATATTTAAAAAGGAGGTCAATTTAGTATAGTATATAACATATCCACCAATTTATTCCTCTCAACTAAACATATTAATATAACATACCCATCGATTTATTCCAACCAACCAAACACATTTCTCTAAACATTCTCAGTAATCTTCAAGGTAATCTATCTTTTCATTAATATAACATTCCCAATAATATAACATTCCTGAATACTGTTTAAATAAAGAGTAATATTACACATACATCATTTTCATACAACATTATGTGGCAAGATATGATTGGCTAATTTAAAGTTAAAATTAAACTTTCATCCAATCACATCTTGCCACATAATATTGTATGAGAAATATTGTATAGAAATGATGTATATGTAATATTATTCTTAAATAAATAGGGGTTGAAAACTCTTCCCAAAATATCATTGGGGATGATGAATAAGGGCCCTAACCAAAATGTAAGCTATATTAGAGGTAATGTATTATAAAATAGAATGGATCTATTGGCATCCCACAAACACAAACAGACTAAAGAAACCCCACTTTCTAATAAATTTTATAATAACAAATTTATCCCTTATATTAAATTATTAAAATTAATTTTAATTTCTTATTTTTCAAAAATACTTTTAACACTCCACTATTATCTCATAAACCCTATTTTTTTTTTATGATACTCAAATCATTTTTAGAACAAAAAGATATTTAATTGGAGAAAGAATATTTGCAATGAGATGTATTAGGTTATAAACAATATGAAATTGTAAGTTTTTAATTACTTAAAAAATAAATTTCTTGTTATTTTTTTTCTTTAAAGTACCGTTAATTATTTTGATCTATATATTTTTTGTATTGTTTAGTTGTAATATGTGCTTCTAATTATTTATAAGGATTTTTCTATCTTTAATTTTTTTTTTTTTTTTAAACTTTCAATTCAATTATCTAAAATTTTATTTTAAGCATACATATATTTTCTTTCACTTAATACAGCCTTCTATAACTTGGCCAAACACGACTATCATAAAAAGTTACTTTGGCAGCACTATTCACATGCTTAATGCAGTGTAATACAGCAGATCAAACACACCCCTAACTAACTAATGAAAGTAAATTGTTAGCTGATACAAAATAAGACTTGGATGACATGGGTTTCAAAGGGCAGTAACTAATATGAAATATAGTAAAACAAAATTGAAAGGTTATGGGGAAATCAACATATTATTCAAGGAATACTTCTGCTGTGTAAAATGTTGAAGGGCAAAATTTTCTTGAACTTATATACAATCAATCATACATTTAACAACTACTCAGCCAGTGAGTGCTTAAGAGTTGGAAGAAGTATTTACCAAACATAAGCTATAATCCATTTTCTTCAAAACTCCAACAGCATTAGACAACAAAAAATGGTTAATAATAGAATGGGACATCTCCGACGGTAATTATTAGAATGCTATCTCCTCAAGAACTTGAAGGGTTTTCTGATGAACCTAGATACAAGATGAACAAATTAAATGAGTCGTTGGAAGAATGATGTGACCCTTACAAGCGTCATCAAATGCACCATAACTAGTACAAATAATAATACCCTTTTGCTTAAACCAATCAATGCATGATTATTTGCACAGAAACAACCAAGTCACATGAAAAGTATCTCGTATAGAGTTAGAAACTTACACTTACAATGAAGGCATTTTTTAGTTTATGGGAAAACAGATTCTCAGTATCAAGAGAAAAAGTTATGTGAATTATGAGGGAAGATAAAACTTACCCATTCCAGATGTTGTGCTGTAATACCAGGGACATTTCCAGAGTATATACCGCCTAAGACCTGACAAGTCGAGGAATAAATGTTCATCAGCATCAATCTATGCATATATACCAGCTTCTTAGATCACTTCATAGAATGTAACTGAGTGATGATGGGAGAAGCCAAAGCAAATAAAAGCAAGAGATGTGTCATTTATATTAAATCAATGAAGTTCGTTATTTGACGGAATTTCCTTATCATGTCTTCAAGTCCATTTAAGTTGCAATAGTTCTGCAAAGTGATGATTACCTTGGTGACAGTCTCAAGAAACATGCCAGGGCGCACAGGAAGAGGTTTCAGTCCCGTAACACTTTCCTAATATCATAATAAGAGGGTCAACTTACAAACACCAATAATTTTGCAGATGCATTGACCTAATCTAAGATAACTTATTTTTTATCTACTGGGGAAATAACCATATTGTGTAATGAATCTTACCCTTCCTCTAACTCCATTGGATTTCCTACCGTCAGTATCAACTTCATCACTTCCATACCTTTCTGCACCTTCGTCTTTCCCAAGCATTACATTTTTTATCATTTCTTCGACAGTTTTCCCAGGTTTCAAAGCAACCAGTTTGGTTAAGAAGTTCACCTGCAATGGCAAGATTTGTGTTTACACCAATGATAACTAAAACAACTTCTATGCCTACAAGAAGAACAATAAAAAAACAACCTTTAGGCACAGATTTCCTCAAAACAAAGAACACTGTTATTCAATAATATATATGGATAAAAACAAAGAATTGAGGACAAGTAGCAGCCAGTCATTTTATATATGCAGGGAAATACCTCTGATTCAGGAAGAGTAGTAAAGCCACGGTCATTTCTTTCATCCAATATTCCACCTCCCATCATATTCCGAGCTTCCTCTCTGATCAATACAAGCCTTGCAAGTAGTTTTCGATCTGGAACAACTGGTCTAGTTTCCATTGTCTGCATAAGAATTGATAATGTAAGAAAAAGTTAAAGAAACAAAACAATAGATGATGTTTTGGTCAAACTTTGATTCCCATCTATTTAAACAAGATACAAAGACCATGAATACTTAATATATTTTTCATTCACCATGATAGTTCTTCACATTTAAATGCTTTAACATATCACCCCACCCACTCTTTCATTTATTTTCTTCTTTGAGCATGACAAAATTGAGAGTTTTTCCCTCTTTTTTGGTTTTTCTTACTCTATTTTGTACTCACCCTACCAATCCAGTTTCCTAAAAGTAATGCCCCATGAAAGTTTCTATACCACTGCAATTGCACCTATCTTTGAGTAAGCTATGTGGTCCTACATAAATAAAGCAAGCTCAGGGAAGTATAGCCAAATGACATTAATGGGAGAAACTAAACCATCAATACAAGGTTTTTTTTTTTTTTTTTTTCCCCCTTGGGTGTAAGGGAGTAAGGGGAAGTGGTTCGCTTAATATCATAAATAGAAATCATAAACAAAAAACCTAAGCAGTTCATCAATAACAAAATAAAGTAGCTTGTCAATATAAAGGAGATAACAGAATATACTAGGTTTCAAGTAATTACCTCCAGTAAATCATCTGCCTGGTTAGCTATATCATTTAAATTTGCTCCGGGAATATGAACTTTGATCCCATTCCCACTTTTAAAAGCACCACCGCCAGCAGCCACTCGACGCATCAATTCATGTCTGCTTTCTTTCTGGGGAGTTCTACAAAGCAGGCCAATCACTTGAACCTACAAAGAGGCAATAACTATAGTAAATCTTGTGTAACAATTAGAATTATCTCTTAAAGATCAACCAGAGGTTTCAAGACTTCCTTACATGTGGGGGGCACTTCTTTGTAAGATGGGATAATACGGTCTCCTTGATTACCTCCAAAAGTGCCTTGCGCTTTACAAAAACAACATATAAACTATCAACAGTAATTTCAAGTTCCACAATAATCTTTTAACTCAAAAAAACAATAGCAACAAAACAATCATAGGATTCCCATACACAGTGAAACTTACAAGTTTCAAAGTCATAAAGCATCCACAAAAATCAAACTAAGACTTGAGCAAACAGATTTGAAAGGAGTATACATGCATTTGTTCGAAAAATTTAATTGTAGAATTGTACCTTATCATCTTGGTCCTTTTCAGCAAGTTGTATCATGTAATCTAGGGCCATCATAAAACCTGATTCCATCTGATCAACTCTTTTACCTATAACTCCTTGAGCAGCCAATTCCACAGCCACCTCCTCAGATGCTTCATTCATATTCATATCTTCCAACTACCCCACACACAAGCACAAAGAAAAACACAAAACAGAACCTTCATTCATGAACTAATAACTCAGCAACTAACATCAGTGCCAAATGAGAAAAAGCTTCAAACTTTGAGCTGCCTAATTGATGCAGGAGAGTTGATTAGGATATATTTCCCAATATCTAGAATTAGTTTGAGATGTAATTCATTGAGATTATCATATATCTATCTTTTATCTACTTCCATATTAAATTAGGACCATACTTCTCAGATTTTAATCAAGCCATCAATAAAATTCATTCTTAAATTTCCTTAGGTCCATTCTTAAATTTCCTTTGGCAATACCTTATGTCACGGATTTGACTCATACTCACGGATTCTAGTGTTAATAACCATTGATATTGAGAAATGCCCTCCAGCAAGTGTTGAAAATATACCGAATTCGGCTTAGTCAAAACAACAAATCATTTTGAACAAACCACATAGTTTGTCGGTTTGCTACTATGTCTCCTTTTAAGATTTCTTGATAGTGTTCCTATTTTCAGTAAACTTCCTCAGACTTTAATTTCAATATAGTAAAAGCCTCTTATGCAAACAAACAAAAAAATAAAACCCTTTTGCTTATATTAATAAAGGAAAATCAACATTACTAGTGGAATCTAGTATAAATATAATTTACTATATTAAAATTTTTTAAGTTTATTTAAACATCTTAAAAAATCCAATGATGTTCAAAATGACCCTTAAATTTATACTACTATTCCACACATTTTAGCTTCTCAATTCTTGCTTTTTTTATACTTTATTTCAACAAATATAATGCAGAATTCATTAAATTTATCCACCAAAATTTTTTATTTCAATAAGACTCAACAAAATTAGATGGTAATATATGATCAAAATAATGAACTCTTACTAATTTTATAAAATAGAGTATTCATAATCAAACTCATTATCTAATCTACATACAAGTAAAATACTAGACCAAAAAGTTTCAATCTAGTAAAAGCCTCTTATTCAAACAGAAAAATAAAACCCTCTTGCTTATATAAATAAAAGAAATTCAATATCTTGATAACAATACATAACTATTTTCAGGGTCGATTATAACTGAGCCTACTACATGATAGGTATGGTGAAATAGTTAAAAGATCAGAGGAGTGAAAACCTACAAGAATGATCATTTCCTGAAGAACAGAAGTGACTTGGTCACCCCCTTTGAGTAAAGCTTCATAGTTAGAATTGTCGGTGCTCTGGTCGGCAGTGAAGAGGTGGGTTTTATGGGGTGAATTTAAATCTTCAGGTGGGTAACCGCCACCTACTTCATAAGAGGAACGCAAACTCCATTGGTGAGTGTGGGTGGTAATGCTAGTGGTTTGTTTTAAAAGTGGGAAGTGGTGTTTGTGGTGGTGTGATGGAAAGGATATCGATGGATTCAGAGGTGTAGAAGGTGAAGATGACGATAATGCAATCAAACCCAACATCTGGTTTGTTTTGGCCTTTACGGTCCTGGGTTTTAGGACAGAGGAAGAAGATACAATATCAGATAATTTGTTTGTTCCAATTTCTTATTGAGTTAAATTTGCACTATCCTAACCAAAATAAACATTTGTTTCCTCTTAAAATTATATTCTATTTTATTCAATTAATTTAAACTCCTTAAGTTTGTTAATTTAATTAAACACCCCAAAAAAAGTTTAAAATTTGACAAAAACAACCTCATCCACCCACATTTGCCAGATTTCGGCCACCACCACCAGAAAGTAGCCAGAATCTGGTATAATGGTGCATTATCGACTGGATATAGCTGGCAGTATACCGATCTAGCATTTTTCAACCAGATCCACTGTGGATCTGACAAAAAAAAACCAAATCTACGACCACAGATTTGGCCGTTGACGACCAGATCTTTGGCTTTAGCTAGTCGTCAATGACAGCCAAGACATGGCCGTTATTGACGATCAAACACGACCAGAGCTTGCCGTCAACGACTAGATCTAGTCATAGATTTGGCGTTTTTCATATCGACTGGATCTATATGGCGACTCCGGCCACCCTACAACGGTGGTGCCCGGCTACCGGTATTTAATGGGTGGGTGTGGGTATTTTTGTTAATTTTTAATGTTTTATTAAGGGGTGTTTATTAAATTAACAAATCTATGGGGTATTTTTTGTTAGTTTTTAAATCTTACCTCGTAATAACTACCTAACTCTTACTTTTTCAAAAATCCTAACCAAAATACTAAAACAAATGCACAGTCACTTGTCTTAGTTTTGACGGAACTATGTTAAATGAATTTAATGCCCTTATGCCCAGCCAACAAGTCTCCTTATGCAATCCAATTCGACAACTGTATCCACACATCATTAGTCGTACATCTATTTTTTTAAGTATATTAAGCCAAAAAGAAAAAATTACCCAGTAACACAATCGACCTAAAGGCTAAAAGACACTACAAAGAAACAGAGGCACAAAGGCCCAAACACGAGCACACAAGCTCAAACAAGGCACATTCGCCCAAAGGAACACAGAGACACGGAAAAAAAAGCAACAAGGCACAGGTGCCCGAAAAAAAAAGCACACATGCTCAAACCCAAGGCCTATAAAAGGTACATATGCCAAAAGGAGCATGCAAGCTCAACAAAAGAAAAGAAAGAAATTAAGATCGTTGCCTTTTCTTCTTACTCTTCTTGCCCTTTGATGCTGGCGAGTCCGGAGGTCTAGAATGTTGGGATTGCAGCATGGGCCATACCATGTCAGAGTGAAAGTCTACTTCGACATCTTTGGCGTTGATGTTGTCGTGGACAACAAACACCATGGCTAACAACCCTTCCCGACCATCCACAGAAGAATCATCGCTCGGATGGTCACTCACCCCCCTTTTAAGGGCATTGAAAAGCAAAGGATCACGAGCTTCAACAATCAGAGCACTGCCTGGAAGGACTTCGTCCAAGTTAAAAGCTAAAGAAGTTTGTGACCGAAGGGCGTCTAGGGAATTGGTGCTCACCGGTCAGGGGGGGGTTTCTTTTGGGCCCTCGGAGGAGACGGGTGAGGAACGATAATATCAGGCTAGTTTCGATCAAACTGTTGCTACTCATTATGATATTTTGAAGTTGATTAGTGTTAAATTTGTCTTATATTTGGAGCTACAATAATCCCAAGCTAGTTCAACATAACCTAGTAGTGTTCAAAATCGGATACCTGAACCAGTTTTGCATTTGGTTGACCCAAACCGAATATTCGGGTTAGGCTTTAAGGGGACCCAGTACCTGAACCGGTTTGGAAATTACCTGGTTCTGAACCGAACCAAATTTTGGGTTCGGTTTGGTTCGGTTACCAAGTACCCGGTTTTTTAATTGAATTTGAATCTTTTTTTTTATTTCTTTATTTTCTTTCCATTATCTGATCTCATCTTCTTTTTCCTCTCTTTATTTCCTTTGCACCACCACGCCCTTCTTCTTTTATTTTTCTTATTCTTTACCACCCCCTTCCCTCAGCCTTCGTTGTCACCTCCCACCTCCACCTTCATCTCCTCACCATCGTCCCCCACACCTACCCTCACCGTTTTGGCCACCCCTCACATATTCAACGCACCTTCTTTTGGCCCCATTGTTTACATCCATCACCATCCTAGCTGATTTGGCACATCATTGTTTTGATTGTCTAGGTTTTGGAGATCTATGAGTTTTCTAGTTTAAATTTGTGTTTAATTTGGCTTGGGTTTCGGAGATATGTGTAGAAGAGAAGTTAAGAAGTAGTTGGGAAGACAAGAAAATGAGAGAAGGAAGAGGAGAAAAAGAAAAAGAAGAGAAGAGGATAAAGAGAAAGATAAGGACAAATAGAAGCAAGAGCCGAAGAGATGGAGGAGACAGAAGAAGATAAGGAGGCAGAGAAGAGAATAGGTGATGGTGAAAAAGAAGAATGAAAGAGAAAAAGAAAAGAGGAAAAGGAAAAGGAAGAAAAACTAGGGTTTTTTAAGTGAAAAGTCAAAGTTATCCTCACTCATATTAAAAAATTTCAAAACACGGATTCAGTTCGGGTACCCAATTTTTAAAAAAAAATTGAACCACTACCCGAACCGAAATTTCGAGTATCTATCAAACTACTATCCGAAACTGAGCTGGATTTTCAGGTACCTTAAAAATTTAGTTCGGTTATCATACTGGTTCGATTAGTGGGTAATTTTGAACACCCCTAAGGGCGTGTTTGGTTCATGGAATGTTGTATTATTGAGAATGTTATATTAATGAAAAGATAGATTACCTTAAATATTACTATGAATGTTAAGGAAAATGTGTTTGGTTGGTTGCAATAAATTGGTGGGTATGTTATATAGATGACTAAATTGCCCTTCTTTAAAAATATTAATATAATATTATTTTTTAAATCATTTGTTTTAACCTCTTACATTTGATATTTTGCTAAAACACTCTAGCCACATAGAAGTTTAATTTTTAATAAAAACACCTCCACCCACCCAAGCCATTATCAGCCGTTTAAACCATCGCCAACCGTCGATTAGGAAGTGCACCAGAGATGTTCTTTGAGGGGTTTTGAAGAGGAGGTGAAGGGGAGTTGACCGGTGTAAGTGATTTTCGGTAGAAAACGCAACCGAAAAAGCGCTGAGAAAAAGGGAAATCACGCAAAAAAATAGTGGGATTCGCCGACGATTGGGGGCCGCTCTGGTGATAGGGTTTGGTGGGATTTGAAGAGGAAAACAAGAGGAGTAAGATGGTGGTGGTTGGGGTCGACGGTGATGTTGGAATCAACCTAGATTGGGCTTAATACTGGTGGCTATCCAACCCAAAAAAGCCTAGATCCATAGCCATCGATTTGGCTGAAAACGGTCAGCTAGATCTGGCCGATCGTGTGCCATTTCTGCTATGTTGGCTGGTGGTGGTGGCTAGCTACCAGTAGTTCTCTTGAGTGGCTTGTAAATTGTTTTAAAAACAATGGCATTACTATCCACAACTTTAATTATTTAGGGGTAAAATTGTAATGATAGGGTTAATGTAAATTAATTTTAAAATAAGGGTATTATTGTCTAAAAATTTTAATAATAAAGGATAAAATTATAACAAAATTAAGATTACCCAGAAATCTTAAAATACCTAAGAAAATAGAAATAATCAGATTACTTCCTATATAATCAACAGTAATTATTATTGGTAAGATTATTGAAATATTCTATTACAGTAAAACCTCTCTATAATGATACTCTATATAGTTATAAAAAATTCTAGTCTCAATTTATGATAGTTATAAATAAAAATAAACTCCACATTGTAATAAGTTATAATTTTTCTAATTCCCATCTTAAGGAAAGTTGCCTCCACATAGTAATAATTATCTGTATATTACCAAAAAATACATGTTATGTTACATTAAAGGTTTAAGATGAAGTAAAATATTTATCTAAAGTTGTTTGGGAAAATGATTTATATTTTTAGAGTTGTTACCACATCTTTTACCTTACTAGTATGTAATAACTTGTTAGCATGGACACCTTCTTATTGAAGCCAAAATATTTTTAGCTTTTCAAGCATGTTTAGAGCTTCATGGCATGAAACTTTTTGTATTTCCGTACTATCATCCTTAGGATTATTTCCTTTACATTCTTGTCTAATTGTAGCAATGATTTCTTCTTCGGTTAAAGTATACATGATTTGTTGCTCATTTGGATGATCGATGAAGACATTAATATCTATTCGATTAATATAGTGAAATTGTCGAATCTGATCACTCAATTTTGCAATGACTCTTTTATTTTTCTCGCCCACTTCATTTGTAAATTGCAATTAATCAAAATCGGGGGTCCTAATTTTGCAATGCTTAAAACCATTGGTAATTGTCTATGGTTTCACATCAATTAACCATGTATCAACTGCATTTATGGTTCCATCAATGACACTTATCTTTATTAGTTCTAAGACACGGTCTTCTATCCATTTCAAAAGTAGGTAATTGAAGCGCTGAATTGAAATCCTAATACTACTAAAATATGAATTGAAATCTTAATACTGTACTACTAAATCATGAAATGAAAAATAAGAAATCAAAACTATAATTTTTGTAACTACACCTCCATTAAGTTATAATCTTATTATAGTAATAAAATTAGTTAGTCCCACTATTATGACTAGTAGCGGATCCAGCCACCTTTTGACCCACCCTCAATTTTTTTTTTTTAATATTAATATGTATAATTTATATATTTTGGTCCACCCTAATAAAAATATTAATGGGTAAAAATAGTAATGTATAATAAATTTTTATTTTAGTCTATCTTAAAAGAAATTTTTGAATCTACTGTTGATTATGACTATAAAGAAATTTTACTTTACTTAACAACCAACGTGATAGTGAAGTAATACAAGGGACATAGTGAAGTAATACAAGGGGACGTTACCTTAACGGAGGATTACTCCGCATCAAACACACCCTGACATAAACCACTTAAACCTAATTTGGTTGAATTGTTCCCAAAACCGGATCAAATCAAGGGGTCTGTACCGCAGTACAGAAAAAAGGTAAAGACTATGAGGATGACCCTACCCTACTCATTCCTGTGTTGCCAAAAAGTTTGAAATCCAAAACAGCCTCGTGCCAGACGGTCAATATAAATGTCTTTCTCCTTCCAAAATTACCCCTTCCATTCAAATCAAAACAAAAGAACATTCTAATCAATTCAATATTATATTTTATTCGTTACTTACAAACAACGTGTCAGTTCACTTCAATACAGTACACTACCCACAACCACTATATAATTTCCCATTATCATTGTTTGTTTTTAATTGCTTTAATGCGAACTTATTTCCTTAGTATAGGGTGGATAAATACGGTATAGTTCGAATTTTATCTTTCATAATTGAAGTGTACTGTATACAAAAAATTTCTAAAAAAATCCATACCACATTAGTTTTAATTATAGTAACGGATCCAAAAAATATTTTTAAGGTGGACCAAAATAAAAACTATTTATATATTAATATTTTCGTTAAGGTGAACCAAAATCCAAAAATTATATATATTAGTATTTTAAAAAAAAATTGAGGGTGGACCAAAAGTGGGCTGGATCTGCCCTTGGTTTTAAAATTGAATTGTTGTTCAGTATAGTTCAATTATCTATTTTTAATTGGTTTTTTTTTTTATATTTGGAGGGTTTTATGATATTCTTTTTGTGTGTTTTTTATTTTATTTTAGGGCGTATTTAAAAAAAATAAACTGTTCAAATAGTATAGTTTGAATTGAATAAACCAAAAATAAAAAATCATACTATACCATACAATTCTTAGAAAAAAAACAAAATTATTTTTTTTTCCCACAAAATGTATACCACAACAATTCGGTTCCATATATATTTGCTTTTTACCCGTTATCCTTACCATCATGTAACTACACTCAAGCGTTATTTGTAAGTAGGTTTGGCCTTGGCAATCCTAATTTCCAACCTCTTTTATTTTATTTTGAAGTTTTGATTCATGTGTAATAATTTTAAAAGATTCTAATATAATGATTAGTTATTATTACTTAGTAATAACATCTTTGTAGTATTAAGGTTTTATACCCAAATTTATAAAGAATGTTATGTTAAGATAAGTGGGTTAGTGTTAAATTATTAGAACCTAATCATTTGATTTAAATTTCGTGCATTATTTTATTTTCATATTCATATTTTTAATTTTTATATAATAATGTTTTTCATACTCAATGCATGTGTGTTAGTTGATGGAGTGGCTCAGTGGGTGACATGCCAAGGGCATTTTCGGTATACGAGTAGCATTAAAAACAAGTGACAGTGGCATCATTCGTAATTTATTTCTAAGTAGAGGGGCAACAAGAAACCGAGTATATTAAGACAATATCCATTTTACCCTCGTTCCTGGCTAACGGTTCCGCTTCCCCGCTTCTATATAATGCCCATAAACGTACCCAATGCAACCCTCGTTTCATTTCATATTTTCCATCTCTCCATTCTCTCTCTCCTAGGGTTTGATCAGAAAACACAAGCACTCTTTCGATGGCAGCTGTTCAGGAGGTCCAGAACGGGGGAGGAGCAACCGAGAAGGCTGCCGCGCCGGCTGTCTTCACGGCTTTGAAGCCTCAGCTGTTGGTGGAGGCACCGAAAGCGAGTGACGCTGTTCAGTTCTACAAGTCGGCATTTGGCGCTGTGGAGAATGGCCGTACCATGCAGAGCAAACGAAAGGCCGAGCAGGAGCTCCCTCTCATTCTCTCAGCTCAGCTCGAGATTGGCGGTTCCACCATTCTCATCTCTGACGCAGCTGACGACTCCGCTGTTCCGTTCGTCTCTCTTTCTCACTCTCTCTTTACCTATTTTATCAGATCTTGTAGCTTATATACTGTTGGAGTATTTCTCACTTCATTTTGCGTAACTGTTTTATTTTATTTTAATAGTTATTTGTTTGCTACAGTTTTGTTCGTACATGAGTGTCTGATTTGAAGCTTTATTTAGTTTTTTCTGTTTAATATTCAGCTTGCTCATATATTTTACTTTCGTTTTTGAAGATCTGCATAAATATCTCATGTTCATAACTCTTTTTAACTTTAAAAGACCAAACGTTGACTTGCTTTTGTGAATATTTTTCGTTGTTGTGTCTCGTTTGGCTGTGTTCTGAACGTTTTTGTTTGTCTTTTGTGCAGAGTGAAGAGCGTGGGTGGCGGTTGCGTGCTCTGCTTGGAGACTGAAGACGTGGAAGCTGCTATTGCTACGGCTGTGAACGCCGGTGCTGTCAAGGAGGGCGAGATCGTTGAAGGTGATGGCGCGTGTTGCGGTGGGCGCGTCGGCAAAGTCAAGGATCCATACGGTTTCACTTGGCTCATTTGCTCCTCAGCCAAGAAGTGCACTGACGTGGAAGCTTAGGAGTCGTGTGATCTAATCCTGATCTTGATCTACCATGATCTCTGTTTTTGTTGTTTGTCTTAAATGCACTCTCTGGTTTAGGTAATGAATAGGGCTACGGGGCTCTTAGTCTTAGATTTCAAATATGCTTTTGGTTAATTTTGAACCAAAAAAACTGACAGCTGGCAGTTATTGACCACTTACTACTACTAGTATTATTATCATCTTCTTTTGCATTACCATATTGTGATTTATGATTAATTAGTTTTATGAATGTGATTGTGATTGTGATTGTGATGATGAACGTGAAGGGTAGAATTGACTTTTTGAATTATGTGGGTGTTGGATAGGGTTGTTGGTTTATTGTTATGCCTCGTGTAAAGATAAATCTCTGCAGTGGAGATTGTTTATTCGTCGAGTCTTTTTTTACTGTTTATTTAATCTGAATGTGATTAAACAATAATAAATATCTTCGAGATATTGAGTTACGAGAAAGAGGGCCTTGGGCAGTGTTATCAAAGAGGTACGGCATCTAGTAAGTTGTTGACACGTGTTAGTTTAATTTTAAGTAGATGTTGGGGCCATGGGCGTGTCAATTAGATATGGAAGTGTTTTGGTGGGGACCAAAGTTTGTAGTGGGGTGTGATTGTTGTGTTCTTATTTTATAAAGAAAATATTTATTATGTTTTAAAGGGAGAATCTGTAAATCCATAAGAAGCTTGAAAGTCGTAATTTTGATTGGATTTATTTGATAATAAAGTGATGATAAAGGGTGTTCAAATTAGTCATTCTCTTTACATGGAAAAAATCTTTTACAATTCAATAAGCCAAGAGATTATAGAAATATGTTGGATGGAAAACTTTCTCAAACTACTTATTTAAAGTTTTAATAATGTTGATGGGTTTTGGCTGCATACTCCCCCATCTTTTATTCATGCTCCATAGGGAAGGAGCTCGATGAAGCAACCTCAAACAAAATATTATTGAAAGAAAATGCCAATGAATGAGTGGTAATTAAGTAAGTGTTAGATTTGGAGGTATTCTTTGAGTCTTCATGTTTCTGTCCAATTACAGGAAATATCCAATCAAATAGTTGATGTTGTTTTCAACCAAATATAAATTGACAATCATTCAAAGAGGATATGATACGATAACACCAAAAACCACACACCACGGAAAAGTACATTACATTAATGTTTACAATGTGAACCAATATCCATATCCTTGTCTCATAAAAATTTGGATGTGCATAAGAGATAAACCCAATACCTGTTAAAAAAAAAAAAAAAAATTATGAATAATTATATTGATTTTATTTTTATCATAAGAGCAAAGCTAAACCCATAGAAACACTAATCACAATATTTCTTCTCCTTCCTTGGGTCAGAAATGTAATTCTCCCTTTTCCCCTAATACCCACATCGATTCATGAATTGTCAACCTCACTCACTCACCCTAATGTTAATGTTGTATTAAATAAAGCCTTTAAGATAGAATAAAAGAAATGAAAAAGGAAAGAAAGATGTAACCTCATCTAGTCATATTGGCAATCAGCAGGAGGGGTGAGGTTGCATTTGGGAGGAAGTTGCAAAGCAAGATCAGGATCAATCCCAAAAGCAGGCAACCATGGTGAGGTTCTATAAGAACACAAACAAGTCAAGTTGGCTCCTTTAACAGCCTTGCAACATTCTTCTGATGGCGCAACTGGCTCCGGTTTCATCACCGATGGCTTACACGCCGTGAGACCCTCATCGTCAATGTTGCACAATTCCATAGCCCTAGAGCTTTCCGCCAATAATACCACCATTAAAACCACCAAAACCACCGTCTTACTCATTGTCATCTCTCTGTTATCCTACACATTGACATTGTGACTGTGTTTATATAGAGAAGGTAGGAGCCACAATTGAGGAACCCGTGAATAAGAATTGGCAGGATATGAGAGTCACGGGAGTTAGTTGGTTCCACTTTTTTGCATTGCATTCATCACAACATTTTGTTTTTAAGAAGAATTTATATCGGATTGGATTCTGACAAATCCATGACATCATCCTGCCCTCAAACTAATTATTGATATGTTATCTTCTTCTTAATTTATTAAATATCATTACTTCAAAAATTTTCATTAAAAAACTTTTAATAAATAAATTCTTCTAATTTTTCAATTTCTCTTTAATAAAATCCCGACTTTTTTCCCTGTTTTTCTAAATTCTTGAATTGAATAAGATGTTTTAATAAATAGGAGGACGATAATGCAGTTTTAGAAAAGATATAAGACCTTTTTGGTAGATAGAAAAAAATATAAAATAATTACAGTTGACCCCCACGAAATAATATGATTTGAAGGGGTTTTAATGCAAATAAAAGGACCTAGAATTTGAAAGCGCGAAGTGGGACTTTGGAATTGTGTGCTAAAAGTACGAATTTCGGAAAAAAGAGAATTTTATAAAATGATTTATTTGGATGAAAGTCCTCGAAATTGAAGGCTTAGTTTGGTTGGTTTTTGGGAATACTATTATTAGTATTCCCAAAAAAATTAAACAGTAAAATGCCTAAAAATTCACAATATTATCCAATATTATTCAACTTTTTTTAAACCTCCTAAATTTGTTAATTTAATTAAATACTCTTAAATATTTTTGTTTGAAATTGAAAAAACACCTCTAAACCCACATTATACCAGATATCGGTCACCACTATCGGAAGTTGGTAGAAATCTGATATAATGGCGCATTATCGGCTGAATCTGGTCGGTAGTGTACCGATCTAACATTTTCTGGTCAGATCCATGGTGGATCTAGCCAGAAAATGTTAGATCTAAGGCCAAAGATCTGGTCGTTGATGGCCAGATCTTTGGTCGTAACTAGACGTCAACGACGGCCAACATATGGTCGTTGTTGACCATCAACGACGGCCGTATCTTTGGCCATCTTTGACGAGCAATCTGGCTGTCAATGGCCAGATCTAGCCATAGATCTGGCCTTTGCCGGCCAGATCCACGGAGGATCTGGTCGGCAAAGGCCATATCGGTGCACGACCGGCAAGATCCAGTCGATCATGCGTCGATACGGCGACTTCGGCCACCCTCTGCTGTGGTGGTTGGCTGTGATTATTCAATGGGTGGGTTGGGGGTGTTTTTGTTAACTTTCAAAGTTTTATTATAGGGTGTTTAGTAAATGAACAAACATAGGGGGTATTTTATTAATTTCCAAATCCTACATCGTAATACCTGCCCAATTTAACTTTTTTTAACTTTTTTCAAAAAACATTTCTAAAAAATGCAAAAAAGTGAACCAAACAAAGCCTAAAATTGTAGCTTTAGAGGATTTTGAAAGATTTTTAAAATATAAAAAATCCAGGAAATCAGATTTTTGAAAGATGCAAAAGATATTGAAGTCGATGAATAGTGCATTTTTGCTTAATGAAGTTATATATGTATATAATGATGAAGACTTTATTCTTTTGCTGCCTCAAATAATAAAGAATAGCGGAATGGTTTTGGGAGTTTTTCAGGCATTTTAGAATAATTTTCTAGAATGTTTTTCCTACGTTTTTTGTAAAGAGTTTTTCATGCGTATAAAACCGAAATGCCAATTAGGTCCCTCCAAGTGAGTCTAATAAAAGAAAACTTTAATTATAATAGAGCAAACAACATTTTCCCACCCAAGTTTGGGCAAATCTATTTCCACCCCCAGTTTCATTAATTGCAGATTCCCACCATTAAATTAACAGAAAATTGTTTAATCTAACAGTTAAAAGGGTAAAATAATCATTTCAAAATAACTCTTCACTTCTCAAATTCACCCCACTAGAATTTTTTTAAATAACCTTTCACTTGTCAAATTCACGTCACTGGGGATTTCAAGCCATTCCGGCCTATTTTCGGCACAGTCGACCCCTCCCAACACCACCATTACAATCCCCTCAACCTCCAAATCAAAACCCCTAACCTCCCCGCTTGATTGAACCCCCCAATCGCCGGCTGTAGCTCTTAATTTTAGTTGGCGTTTCATCAAAATTTCGGCAGGTCCTGGCACCAAAAACCACCCCCAACACCACCAATAGCATCACCGGCCTCCCCCCCACCAAAACCCTCAACATCGCTGATCGCAATTGCCCACCGATCGCTGTCGCCTCTCCTTTAGGTTTTCGTATTTTTTTGCGCTTTTCTAGCCAAATTCTGGCACCTCGCCAAGGTGCAATCAGGTGGAAAAGTAAGGGGTTTTGGTGAGGAGGATAAGGGGATGTTGATGGTGGTGTCAGGGAGGTCCAATGGTGTCAGAATCAGGCCAGATTTTTGGCTTGTCCGGGATCCTCTAGGGGTTGTTTGAGAGAAATTTGATATGTGTGGGTTATTTTGAGAGAAAAGTAATGGTGTTAACTTAAGGGTGAAAATCTGTAATTTATGAGACTAAGGGTGGGAACTGGGAGATTCGCCAAACCTTGGGTGGGAAATGCTATTTACTCATTATAATAAGCCTTTTTGGACTTACTTACCTGCCACACGATAATGCCCCACTGAAGTGGTTTGGGTCCACCAGCCTTTGGAAAAACAGAGAGATGCTCACTCTTATTTACCTTAGTGTGTTGTTGTATGCTGTTGCTAATGGGATATGTAAAATCCATAAGGAGGGATTATCTTGTGCTGAAACGAGTTAAGCCTTGTGTTGTAGAAAGGCCTGTGAGAGTATATGTCCAAAGTCTTGGATTATAGTGGACTTTCAAGAGTGTCGCGGGCTTATGTTAGAGAACGCCATGGCTTACCTTTGAAAATGTTGTGGGCTTTCATTGGAGAACGCCATGGGCTTACATTGGTTCGAATGACATGAGCTTACCTTTCAAAGTGACATGAGCTTTCATTAGAAAATGCCATACGCTTTATTGAGGTCCAAAAAATCTACAAAGAAAAGTGCAAATTGTAGACAATTCTAGTGTATTTTTCAACTTTTGATTTTTTGGTTTTTCTTCTATTTAAAAGAAGACACTCATAACTCATAATACATCGAAAACCATGCATAAATGCGGTAATATAATAAGTTGCATGGTTTTGTCTTGGATATTCATCCACCGTTAGAGCCAAAGGAACCATAAGACCCAAAAACATGTTTCTGTAAACAGGGGTTAAGGCTTCAAGCTCAACAACTCTGGCCAAGCAAGAGGGAAAAGAACAAGAATGAAAAAATACAAGACTGGCCATTTTGAGTATGAGAAGAGCACCACATTGCAGGTCTCTTATATA